CCAAACCACCCAATAGACTGATAGGATCTGGCTAGTTGATGAAAGCTCTGGAATGCCTCTGGGCCACTTTTTCATCAATGAGAGGAGAGCTGAAAACATTCCCAAACACCAAAAATAGAACCATGGTATTTCTGCAAGACGGTGAGTGGAAAGTGATGTGTCAAGTCTTGTTGCATATCAGCCTGTCTCTCCACCACTAAAAATAAGCTGCAAGTCTTCCAAGGAGACTTCTCTGTGTGCTCAGTGGCTACTGCTAGGAGGGATCAGTGCCTGAAGTTAACACTGTTGGTCTTCTAAAATATGGATCTGGTCCCTGTTGTCCTGAGACTGGACCTCAACATACTAGATGACTTTTTTTTTTTTTTAACCTAATAAAAAAGCATGCTTTTTCTAAAGAAGTGTTAAGGAAGTTTTTTCACATCCTGAATATAAGAGGAAGTGCAACTCCAGTAACAGCTCTACAGAACAACTCTGGGCAGGGTCATGATACAGGTTATAACTGTATTTAAGTACAAGTCACTTGAAATCTTTTATGCTGCAGCTAAGAATCTGTATCTGCTACATGTTATTTCTATGTGATTTTGACTTCATTTGAAAGGTATTTACTAAATTTGTGGTGAATCATAATCTACATTTGGAGTGTAAAAAATATCAAGATGAACTTATGATGTTGTACTGACTATTCAGTTTTCTGTGAGAAGCGCATTTTTTAGGCATATTAGATAGGGTTTGGATGGTCCTGGTACGGATGTGATATTAACTTGTTATTTCAGAAATACTATAAGAATGGAGGAAATAAAGATGTTACTACTGAGCCACTGAGTCTTTAATGTGTCAAATATTTCATTGTTCCAGATAAGAGATGCAGAGTAGACTGAAAGACATACCAGGGAGAAAGAGAATGAAGCATGCACATATTTCACAATTATACTATTGTACATTTTTTTTTAAGAAAGAGAAATCAGTAGTTATATTGTGATAAAAATATCAGAGGTTTTTAAAAAGTGCTGTAACTAACTGGTTATATGTCTTCTGGGTACTAACTGGAGTTAGTTTTTCGTATGAGTCACATAGAAAGACCATTATCTTCTGCCAAAGATTGAGAGCCAAGCACAGACAGTCTTTAAATACTATAACTATTTAAAAAATAATGGAATTCTTTGTGTTTTCAGGATTAATTTGGGAAAATTAATTTCTGAAAAATTATTTTAACCAGTAGCCACTAATGAGAAAAATCCTTTTCAAAACTCAAAGTGGAAAGCACAGTTTTACAGATTTACCTTTGATTTAACATCCAAAAAAACTTCCTCCCAATAATAATACACTGTATTTTACAGCTAGACAGGATTCCTTTATAGCAGACATAAATGGTCTTTATAATTATTTATATACCAACCTGGATTACCCATATCAACAAGTATAGTTATCTACTTTTCCTTCCCTTCTGCTTAACAAAAGAGAAACTTGTGCTTGTTGCAGCCCAGCTTTGTCTCTGAACAAATCTCATTATATTCCTTGGAGAACAGCTAATTTAATTTTGTTCCTGAAACACCCAGGATGAGCTTGTAGCCACTTGAAAACTGCAATCAAGAACTACAATCAAGACCGGGTGTCAATTCAATCAGGAATCAGCCAGATTTGCAGAAATTTGCTCTCTCCTATGCCTGATAGATGTAAAATCCGAGCAAAAATGTTTCTGGAGCCATTAGGAAAATATTTCTTTTCCAGTTTTAGCTGTGAAAAAGTGTCTTGCTGGGGAATAACTAGATTGGGTAATAAGCAAGATGGATTACTAAGTTACCAAAGCTTACCTTTTTTGATGAGATTTGTTAAAATGACACATACAAAGGGGGTTTGTTAATGACCAGGGCTGGTCATGACCTCACGCAAAAAGAAATTTTACTCTACTCATTTCTTTACTGGAGCTGGCCCAGTCAAGAATCACTACAACTACATGCACAGCCTAAGAAATGTGTGGAAAAGGAAGAGAATAGGAAATCTAAGAGTAATAATATACAGTATAAATTGTGTATTTATATAGTACTTTCATTTTGTTTATTTTATCATGGTTGGCCACCTACAAATAAACCCTTCGTGCATTGGGGAAACAACCTCTTATGTCTCTGTAGTAAGAATATATATATATATTTATAAGATGTTTCTTCACCTAGAAACCCAAGCGCTTTGCAGCTCCGCAATTTATTTCACTGCAACCAAGTATGTTTTAAAAATGTTTAAAATATTTTTCTTTATATATTGGAAGAAAGGAAACTACACCTGCATATAAAAAATAATTTGCCTACAATTAATCCATGCTACATTATGGCACAAAATGCTACTAACATTAAATATTTGAGACAGGAACTATGTAACTATGTTGGATGAAGTTCTGTCTTCATTCTTCTTTTTTTTCCTCGATTTTGCAATGTAAATTAAAACATATGCCACTGTTCAGACAAAATTAATCCTTATGGTTGCTACAGATATGTTCTGAAGTGGAAGTTGAACATTAAAGCCGAAAACCTTGATTTTTTTTTTTTTTTCTTCAGAAGCCATAGGGGTTTTTTTTAACAACTTGTAAACATAATTTATTGGGTTGCTGCTCTTTTAACTAGCTGAGTCCTTTTTGCTGGGCTTCAGCAGTTTGGTAACATATCCAGATGTCTTGCAGTTCACACAATGAGGAAAACAGGCTTTCATCTTGCTGAGCTGAATGTTTGGCTGGACAGAGGACTGAACTACAAGCTCCCTGTAAGAGGACGCTGTCTCCAACAGTGTCCTGTACAGTGCTGCACTTTCTGACAATGTTAAATGAAGAAAAATCCATGATGATTCCTTCTTGAATGACTTTTTATTTCTAGGAAAATCCAGAAAATCTGGGATGATGTCTCCATTCTCTGCTCTGACATTCTTTCTGTGAACTCACATTCTTTGAACTCGCTCCACACTTTATGCTGTGTCTTAGTGTCTTTACAGATCCTCAGTCTGCTGTCAGTGAAGGAAACATTCTGTTGTAACACAGCATTGTGAAATTCAGCATATTGCACTATAAGTTAGTCTGGCTACCTAACACAGACAATCAAATAAACATGCTTTAAAAACACATTTAAGGAAAGCACACCTTTTGCCAGAAACAAAATTGAAAAAATAAGATGTTTTCCCCAACGTTATGAATATATTCATTTGACCAAAATAACAAAAGCCTAATTTTTTACCTACCTATGATGCATGTTTCTCCCCAATGATTTCTCTGATGCAAATTTTATGGGTGTTTGGGTTTTTTGTTTTGTTTTTGTTTGTTTGTTTGTTAGCGTTTTTATTTGCTTTATCTTGGTTTGTTGTTGTTGTTGTTGTTGCTGTCTTTTTTTTTTTTTTTTTTT